GTGGTTCCACCTGCTTCATAGACGGGGAGACGTGGGCTCAGCGTGGGCACTGCCGAGGCCCAGAGTGGGGTCTGAGCTACAGGCTGACCAGCCCCCAGCATCCCCGAAAGGCTGCCTGGAGCCCCTCTGCCTGCTCCCGCCCCCCGCAAACCTCACCCCTGCCACCGCTGAGCATACGGACCGGACCGTGCTGGGCCTTCTGCTCACCCAGCTCCCCCTTCCAGCCCAGGGAGGGCTGCAGGCCCAGGCCCATCCAGCTGCGAGGCCCTCGAGGGCAGGGGGACACGGAGCCTAGGCGCTGTCCAGGGCTGGGGAATCTTGTTCTGCCTTTCTCGCCAATTCCTCACGTGGGTTTCAGTCTCCTGGACCGCAGGGGGTCCCCAAGGTCCCCTGGCTTGGGGGTCTGGGGCTACATGTCTCCTGGGTTTTGTTTTTTTTTTTTAGGTTCACTTACTTAGAGAATACACGCACATGTGTGCATGCGTGCATGTGTGCAAGCAGGGCAGTGGCAGAGGGAGAGAGAGAGAGAATCCCGGGCAGGCTCCATGCTCTCAGTGCAGAGCCCGATGTGGGGCTCGATCTCAGGAACCACGAGAACATGACCAGAGCTGAAACCAGGAGTCAGACACTTAGGACTGAGCCACCCAGGCGCCCCCCTTCCTGAGCTTTTTTAAGATGAAGAACCATAGTGCGTCCTCGAGGGCACCCCAGGCCCAGAAGACCGAGCTGAAGCTGCCCTTGCAATGGGGGGATGGGACATGGGTGGGAGTGGGGAGCGGGGTGGGAGCAGGCACTAGTTGGGGCCAGGAAGCGGCCTCCAGGTTAGTGGTGGCATTCTGGCTCCTCCAGGGGCAGAGCCGGGAGAGAACTTGAACCCTTGGGCTCCTCCCCTGCTCTGCCTCACCTTCCTGTCCTGCCTCCTCACAGGGCTTGACCAGGATCGCAGACGGCCCTGGGCACGGAGCCCCTAGACTCTATCGGCGGGCGCCGATGCAGCACCGATGCAGGCGGCCGGTGGCTCTTCCTGCTCGCGGCACTATGGTCACTGGGCAAAGGGCTGTTCCCTGGCAGGCCACGGGCCGGCGGCCGTTGGCAGGGGCCTTGGTTCTCATCCATGAGTCAGCGGCCATGGGAACATTAATTTATTTGAGTGGTTGGCCGGGCTGAGGCCTTGGAACATAAGAAGGCTCTGCCAAGGTGGGGTCAAGGGCACTAGGGTGCGTGCTGGGAAGACACCTGGTCGATGTCCCTAGGGTGTGCTGGGCGCCAGACCCTGTGCCCGGCCCTGGGACAGGGGAGCCTGGCCACGCAGAGCCGGGCCCAGGGAGCAGCAGGCCGGGGAGGGAGTGTGCTGGGCCCGGGGCGGGCGGGAGGGCAGGGTTCTGGGCTTGCGTGGGCCCCGAGGGAGCTGGCGCTTTCCCTGCCGGAAGGGGCAAAGGCAGAGTGCGGTCCAAGACGCGGGGGAGTGGAGGTACCCGAGGGACTGGAAGAGGCAGGGCATTCACCCCCGGAGCCTGTGAAAGAACCTGTCCTGCTGGCCTTGATCTCAGGACATCTGACCTCCACGCCCGGGAGACGAGAACATGTGTGCGTCGTTTCAACCCGATGAATTTGTGGAATAGGAATGTGCTACACCACAGTCTCACAGGAGACTGAGACAGGTTTTCCGGAGCCAGAAGCTGGCCATGCGGAGCAGGGCTAGGTCAGGCCCATCCTAGAACCCTCAGTGGCAGACACTGGGAGCCCTTGGCTGGCCGCCACCCACAGGCATGGCCAACTGAGATGGGTGGGCTTGGGGTCAGACAGGCATGGGCCTGTGACCCCGCCCCCCCCCCCCCCCCCCGCCAGGCCACACCCAGGCTCTTCTGAAGGCAAACTGCCCATGGCACTGCCTGCCCTAGAGGCACTGGGGACCCTACGGGATGGCAGGGGTGGGGGTGATGCCAGAAGTCAGTGGAGTCCACTGGCCAGTCTCTAGGATCCTTTGGGATCTCCCCGAAACCTCCAGAGCCAACGGGGAGGGTCCCTGTGACAGCACTCTCCGTGATGCCCTGGGGTGGTCTGTGTTCCTCTCGCCTCAGTGAGCAAGCCACTTGGCTTAACTTTTGCTTAATCCCTTCAACCATCCTGTGGGCTGTTGTCACCCCTGCTTTTAAGTAATTAATTAATTTTTATTTATTATTAAAAGCATTTTTTGAAGCATTTATTCATTTTTGAGAGACAGAGACAGAGCATGAGCGGCGAAGGGGCAGAGAGAGAGGGAGACACAGATTCCGAAGCAGGCTCCAGGCTCCGAGCCGTCAGCACAGGGCCCGACACGGGGCTCGAACTCACGGACCGCGAGATCACGACCTGAGCCGGAGTCGGACGTTGGACCGACTTAGCCCCCCAGGCGCCCCTATTGTCACCCCTGATGCTTAGGGACTTTTTCAATAGGTTTTTTATTGAGGTGAAATTCGCATAACACAAAATTAACCATGCTAAAGTCAACAAGTCAGCGGCCACCTCCGTCTCGTTCCAGAGCATCTCCACACCCCCGAAAAGGACGCCCCCGGCCCGGCAAGCGGCCACCCGTTCCCTCCCCGCAGCCTCTGGCAACCTCTCCTGTGAGCTCCGTCTCCGCGGATTCGCCTGTTCTGGACGCGTCACAGAAGCGGAACCACGAGCTCTGTGGCCTTTTGTATCTGGCCACAGATACGCTGTCACGCAGCCTCACGGTCTCCGGGTTGGCCCTCCTGTGGCACCTGTCAGGGCTCCTCCGTGCCTTTTCATGGCTGACACTTCACAGCGTGCTGGTTTCCCTGCTCGCCGGCCGACTGTCGTCCGGGCTGTCTCCTCCCGTGGCTGCGGTGACCCGCCGGCGGAAGCAGGGAGTGGACGGTCGGTCTGGAGCCCAGGGCCAGTGTGGGTCGGAGCTGGGGTCTGAACTCCTCTTTCTGGGGTCCTTGCTGTGCTCTCTCCTGCTCTGTGCTCCAGGCCGGTCCTCCCCCGGGGGCCTGGGCGCCTGGACGTGGTGGCTCCTGCCCCCGGCGGGCTGGGCCGGCGAGGAGTCGGCCAGGGATGTGCCAGGGCCCTGCAGGCTGCGGGAGCTCAGGAGACATTCTGCAGGTGACCTTCCTGCCCGAGGTTCCCAAATTGGCAGGGTCTACAATCCCAAGTGGCCAGAACCGTTCAGTCTGAAGATTCTCCCACACGAAGCTTCCTAGGCTCCCGGACAGGGTCCTGAGCAGGACACAGGTCCCCACCCCATGCTCCCCAAGGGCGGACATACCCATAGAGCCTCAGCAGCCCCGCCAGGGCCTGGGGCAGCTGCCACCACACGCTGAGGCGAGGTCTGTTGGCCCCCACCTCCTGCAAACAGCGTCGATCTCAAACCCTCCCTCCCTCCTGGCCTCCCGTCCTGCGCCCCCTCTACATCCATAGGCTTTCCCTGACACCCCACCCCCACCCCGGCAAGGCCCCTGGACAGCTGGGAAGGGTCTGGAAAGGAGGATCCTGCGGGGAGGGTCCCCCAGGGAGGGCCCCCCAGGGATGCCCTACGGGGAGGGTCTCAGAGCGGGGAGAGGTGGCAGGGTCTGGGTCTCTCTCCAGAGGGGTGGGGGAGGCTGCCTGGGCTTCTTGGTCAGCAGCAGAGAGCCTGTAGGAGGATGGAGGCCCCTGAGGGTCCCCTCTGGTTCCAGGAGGACCCCAGAGGGTTGGCTTGCCGGAGGAGCCGTGACACCCTGCACCCCAGGCCTCCCTCGCCTGCCGGCCTTGTCCTCCGTGAGCCAACGCCCCTGGGTCAGCCCTCCGGATAGGTGACGAAGTAGGGGGCGAGGTGGGTGCGGGGTGGCCAGGGAGGGGCCGCGGGGCCCACCAGGGCTGTCACCATGGCAACGGGGAGGCTCATCTGTGGGCCGGGCAGCAGCAGCGGGGCGGTTTCCCGGCAGGCAGCGATGAGATCATTCATGTGGGTAAATGCTTCTTGTCCCCTTCCCCTGACATCTTTTGGGACTCGGTCCCACTTCAGCTGGAAAAGGGGGCTTGGAACCGGAGCTGTGTGTGTGCCCCTGGCCTCCCCGGGGAGGGGAGGGGAGGGGAGGGGAGGGGAGGGCTTGGCCTGCCCCTGCCCCATCCAGGGGGTCCGTGCTGCTCTCACTGGAAGACGAATTCTGTCTCTGTGCCTCGTGCCCCCTACCCGTCCTCCCACCGTGGCCTGGGAGGGGGGGGGAGTCCTCTGTGGGAAAGGACGGGCCCTGGGCCTGGAAATAGCTAAGTGTGGACAGAAATAACCCTGGGCTCAAAAAAAGAACATGGAAAATTAAATAGGGAACATTAGCATTTGCCTGGCACTTTCCACAGCCATTATCTCATTGGGAGGTGGTGTTTTATCCTCATTCTATAGACAAGGGAACTGAGGGCCAGAGAGAGAGAAGTGACCTGCCTGAGGTCCCTCTGACTTTCGGCCAGGCTTTTGGCCCCCGGGCTTGCCGTCGCTGGCCTGCACCTCCATACCTCCGAGCCTCGACCCCCACAGCGTCTGCTGCTGGAGATGCCCTCACTTGTTTCTCTGAGAGGCAAACTCCTATTCATCCTTCAAAACCCAGCTAAGCGTGACTTCCTCTGGAAAGCCTGCCCCAGCCCTCCGGCAGTGTGGACCGCTGCCAGGACCTTGCCACGCTGGATTAGAGACAGGGAACGAGGCGGGGACTGTGCCTCACTCCTTGCGGCATCCTCCAATTTTACGCCAGGCGGCAGAGCAGGTCCCCGTAAATGCTTGTTGAATGACTGATCGACAGACCATTCTCACCGACGGGTGAGTGGTCGTAAGTTCAAGGTGTGCCCCTCTCCCTGCATTTTCATTGCGACAACCTAAGGAGCTAGCGGGCCTCTCCAGGAATCCAGGCGCTGGGCAGAGCTGGCCGGAGCTGGCCTTGAGCTGAGGCGGGGGCTGCCGCCTGGCCCAGTGAGGACCGCGGTGTGGACGGGTGGTGGGCGGTGTGGACGGGTGGTGGGCGGTGTGGACGGGTGGTGGGCGGACGGAGACTGTGCCAGCCTGGCTGTCGGGCCGGGGGCTGCCGGGTGCTGTCTCCCTGTGTCCAGTAGACAGGGGTCTGTCCCCCTCCGCCTGACTGGAGAGGCCGGGGAGCCCTGAGTAACTTATATCCAGTCCAGTCTCCCCTGGCAATCATCTGTCCGTCTCCCGCTTCCTCGCGGCCTGGCTTTGGGGCATTGCCAACGCTGCGGTTGGAAAAGCACAGTACTGCTTGTCAGGACATCCCAGCCCTCGGGTGTGTTTCTCTCTCCCGCCCACACAGCGGGCTCCACTGCCAGGCTGTGTGACTCAGGGCAGCTGTCTGACCCTCTCTGGACTCACGAGATAGTGAATGAGGCTCCTGGCCTGGGGACCACGTATGGTCTTAGGAGGTTCAGCTCCCCTGAATCACAGGCGGGATGCAGGCTGTGTAGCAGGGAGAGGACGCCGTGTCTGGGGAATGGGGGCCAGGCCCACAGAGCCTCCCATCCTGCGTGTCCTAGAGACACAGCCCTATCCCTGTGGGGGGGCGTGGGGAGGTGCTGGCTCGGCAGCCGCCCCGTCCCCTCTGTGGCCCCCTCGCCTAGCCTCCCCTGTGTTAGGTAGGGAGATCGGGGACCGGGGCGAGGGGCTTCCTGGAAGGTGCCCGAGTCAGAGGGACCAGGGGCTTCTCGACTCAGTGCCAAGCTTCTCCCCGGCTGGGTCAGGAAGCTGCAGCCCCTCCAGGCAGCCTTCCAGTGTTGCCAACTCTGGGGCCGTCCCTCTGAAGGTCAGGTGGCAGAGGTGAATCCGGAGGGCCGCTGCTGGCCCGCCCCGGTCCGGCGGGTGGTGGACACCTCGGCTGCCTCTCCCGGGCCAGCAGCGCCACCTGGTGGCCCGGGGCCCCATACACACTTGTCCCTCTGGCGTTCCCAGCGGATCCACTGGAGGAGCTGGGGCCAGTCTGGGAGGGGCTCACTCAAGACCCCTGGCAGAACCGAGGGGGGAAATCCCGCCCCCAGGCCTGAGCCCAGGATGTGCCCCCTGAGCCCTGAGCCTTTCTCACTGCTCCCCTGCCTACCATGTGTGCGTGTCCCGGGGAGGCTCAAAGATAGGGCTTAACCCAGAAGACTGGGGGCGGGGGGCGGGGGGCAGGGCAGGTGTCCCGTAGGGAGAGAAACCCGCAGATTACCTGTGGCGCAGGGAAGGGACAGGACGCTGTGGAGTGAAAGAATGTGCTGGAGCCTTCCTGGGGGAGGCCTTACGTCCTTCATGAGCTCAATTTAATCACTAGTCGGGGAGTGCTGAGCACCATGGGAAGAAACGAACACACACATACATGCAGTTACGCACATACACGTAGACACACAACACTCACACACACACACACTATACAAATACATGCACACGCATATACACACAAGCAGCACACACGTAACATGCACGCGCGTAAACGCACAACACCCACACGTGTACACGCACATGTACAAACACATAACACAGCACACACGTATACACACACACACGCACACATAACACACACGTTAGCGTTTCATTCTCACAACTGCACCTAAAGGTAGAGGGCGTCAATTACCCCCTTGACAGAAGAGGAAACTGAGGCCAGAACAGCACATGACTCACGCAAGGTTGGGGAAGCTGATGTGGCCGAAGGGACCTGGCCCGGCTGGGACGCGGGTCGCCTGCCTGGGCCCTGACCCGGGAGACATGTCCCGGCCCGGGCTGGGCTGTGACACCCTCCGCGTGGGCCTCCAGTGCTCGGGCCTCGGGAGCTGCTCCCATACCTGCCCACGTGGCCTTGCTCTGGAGAGGACAGGTGGGAGCAGGGCTCAGACCCCTGGGCCTCACCCCCGACAGACTAAGCTTGACCTTTAACCACCCCTGACCCCTGATGCCACCAGAGGTGCCCATAGGGTGGGTGGGGCGGGAAGACCCTCACAGGTCCCAGGGCCCCTCCGTGAAGCAGGTCTCAGAAGCCACTGCTACAGCCTGGACGCTTGGGGCGCAGAGGGGGTCAGATGCCCTTTGTCCCCCACAGTCCCCAGACATGAAGTCCTGTGGCACCCTGTGACACGCTGGGGACGGACGCGCGCCTGGGTCCCGATAATTCGGTGCAGGACAGCTGACCGTGCCCTGGCTCACCCCTCCCGCCACGCTTGTGCCCCCCACCCCACTTCTGTCTGGGACCCCCGTTGGAGCCCTCCCTCTGGCATATGGCGCCCTGGGAAGGCCTTCCTGGCTTGGAATACGACTGGGGACCCCATGCCTTGTGAGCCACCTCTCTGCTCGGCACATCCCCTCTCCCCAGTCACGGCCTGGAATCTGAGGGGCAGTTGGGGGGGGGGTAGTTTATAAACACATACAGTGCTTCTCCCATTTAAGTCCTTTCTGTTAACTAGACCCCAGGATCTAACTAACCCCAGGCTGGGAAGCCGGATCACAGCTGAGGAGTTAGAGGCCCAGAGAGGGGCAGGGATGCGGCACTCGGAGGGACCCCTACCTTGCCAGGCTCCCCAGCTCCTCCTACGCCGCCTCTGGAGCAGGGCCAGGGCCGTGTCTGGCCTGGGGCACCTGCCGTCTGGGCGGGAGGCTCCTGCTCACGGACAGTGGGGCCGAGGCTGAGAGGGGGCCCGGAGCTGGTGCGGGGGGTTGGGGGGGGTGCGGAGAGCTGGGCTCAGAGCACTGAGCGTGGTCCCAGCGTGTGGGCTTGTGTCCCCTCACCCGCTGGGCCTCAGGCTCTTCATCTGCAACATGGGGGTGAAATGTCCTGGCCCCACCAGCCTGCTGAGGCTCCGGGGGTACTCGATGCTTGAAAAGCTCCCGGTACCACAACCTCAAGGAGAGGCCCAGCCAGGAGTGGGGGGGGAGCCAGGTGGGCCAGGTGAGGACGGGGAAGGAAGGGCCCGGAGCTTCCTCTTCCAGAAAGCCCTCCTGCATGCCCCTGCCTGGCTGGTCCCACTTGCAGCGGCAGAGGACGCGGAGCACCCCAGCTGTGCCACCAGGCTTTGGACTCCCAGGAAGGGGGTGGGGGCTGCAGTGTCCCTGAGGGCTCAGCAAGTGGCCAAGCCTGAGGGTCGGGGAGGGGCCCCGTCCTGAGGGATGGCTGGGCCATGTGGTCTGTCCCAGGGAGGCATGGTGGGGATTCCGGCAGGCTGGCCCCAGGGCCAGAGGAGGGGAAGGGACCTGAGAGGTGGACAGTGCCGGCTGGTGCTGGGCAGACACTGAAAACAAAGGGAGCGCGATGGGGGAGAGGCTGCCGGCGTGGGGGAGGGGCCTGACGGGGAGGTCTGGGGAGGCTCCGAGGGGCAGGCGGTCGCGTGGAGATGGGGGGCAGCGTGGTGACACGACCCAGGGAAACGGCAGGGAGACTGAGGCTGGGCGAGCTGTTCCCCAGGCCTGCCCCCCCCTTCCCTCTCCGGTCCACTTTTTGGCCGGCTCTCCTGCTCCCTCCCGTGCCAGGCCACACCCTCCTTTCACAGCTTTTGGCCCCGGAACCAGGCAGGACTGGGTGGAGAATGCTAGCTCCATTACAGCTCCAAGCCTCAGTGTCCTCCTCTGTGAATTGGGCGCGCAGACCCTGTCGGTGGGTTGGTGGGGGTGTGCTGCCTCCAGAGGAGGGGAGGGAGGGGAGAAGGCAGAGGGCCCGGGAGTGCAGGGTCTGATCCCGGGCGTCGGGGGGGACATCCATCACCCACAGGGCCCTCCACGCCTGCCCCAGGCACCAGAGGCCCCCAGGAAGCTGGGGGCAGGCGCCGCAGAGACATTTTCTGCTATTAATGGACTTTAATCTAAACAGGCCCTAATATTTACCTCCAGCCGCCTCCGGCCTCAGAGGGTGCCAGACAGCAGAGTGATGAGCCCCATCCAGCCACGCTTCTTCCCGTCCAGTGCTCCCCTGGGCAGAGGACAGAGACTAGGCCGTGCGAGGCAGGAGCTGGGTGCCCAGAGGCCCAGGATGGAGCCCCATCCTGGATGCCCAGAGCCTCCGTTTCCCCATCTGCAAACTGGGGATGACAATCCCCACCTCCCAGGCCTCTGGGCAGGTTCAGAGAACAGGTTAAGTCAGTGGCACTTTGTAAGCCCACAGGCAGTGCCGTGGCCCCCCCCTCCCGCTCAGCTGTCTGCCAACTGCCCCCCGTCCCCCCCCCACCCCCCTAGACGGCACCTCGGTGACACGATGGCATGCTGTCGGGCATGCTGGCTGCCCTGCCCACATCCTCCCCCTCCCCCTGCACAGGCAGGTTTGGCACCAGGAAGGGGCGAGGACCCATCGTTCTGCTGGTCTGCGCCCCGGTCCCAGCTACTGTGCTCACAGCCTGCCCACAATTGTGCCATCTGCGCCCCTTCCGTCCCGCCCTCCCCAGGGCTCGGGGCCCCCAAACCTGCCCGCAGGACGGAGGGCTCCCCACACACTCACCACCGCGGCCTGCCTGTCCACGGGAGCGGGAGTGGGGTGAGGGCACGGGTGGGCCCCTGCGTGGGTCCGAGCCCACGGCAACCGCTGCCTGCCCCCTGCTCGCTGAGCTGAGGGCACGAAGGGAATAAACAGGTTTAATTCAGGAGACGAGGACTTCTCGTTGAGGAGATTGTTTACATCAGATATAAATACACACGCCATCTCATGTCATTTGGGCTTCTTGAAAATCTGGGAAGGCAGGCCACGGGGAGGGGGGTGCAGAGATCCCACACCGGGTCCCTATGGGAACAAGGACAGTCGGGGTCTGCCTCCAGAGACTCCTGGGCCTCAGTCCTGACAAAGAGGCCAGGGTGGGAGGGAGCCAGACGTCAGGAGGGGGAATCAAGCCTCTGAGAGAGCTGTGGGGACCCAGACAAGGTCCTGGGGGGTGACTCCCCAGCCCCCTATCCTCCAGCTGCGGTGGAGACCGGGGGAAACTGAGGCCCATCTAGAGAGAGTTCTGCATGGGGGGGGGGCAGCAGACTGAGCTCTCAGAGGCGCAAGGGCAGCTCCCCATCCCGGCCCAGCTGCAGAAGACACGTGGTCACCCTCTCCAGTTGGAGCGGCGGAGGGCTCCCCCGCGCCCTGGGTGTCCCTGAGAGACCCAGGGTGGATGTTGGGATGTCAGGCACGGGGACAAGGGGAGGGGGCTTAGACACCTTCCTGGATTTGGACCCCAGTGCTGTCCATGGGCACTTCTATCCATAGATGGTGGGGGGTAATGAGACAAAGCCATGAGGCAGGGCGGGACCTGGTCCCAGTTTTCCCAGATTCACGTTTGCTCACCTACCTTAAGAGACCCCTCCTCCTAGAGGAAGGCCTTGTTCCAGGACGATTGCAACTCCTCCACCCCCAAGCACAGCGGTCAGTTAGTGTCAGTCAGTCACTCTTTAGCGTGAATTAGAATGGGAACCGGGGGCTGCTGCCCCTGCAGGAAGAGAGCCCGCAGGGGGTGCTGCACTGGGGCGAACACTGGCCCTCCCTCCTCCACTGCGTGATGGTCCAGGCACCAGACGCTGTTAGAGCTTCTCTGCCTGAAAACCCACCCTGGGGTCAGCATCACTCTTGCCAGGTGCTTCTTGGCAGACAGCCAGCTCCCAGGTCCCTCCTCCGTCCCTGCAGCTCCTGCTCTGAGTCAAGCAGGAGAGAGGCTCCTGGACTGTGCCTGGCACCCAGTCGGGGCCACGCTCTCTGCTGCTCAAGCATCCGGGCCCAGGAAGCAGCCCTGGGTCGGAGCCCGGGACTTCCTGGGCCTCCGGCAGGAAGGCTGTGGGCTGACATGTCCTGGGGCAGGAGGAGTCGTCCACACGGGGCTCCACGAAGGGTTGCTAAAGACAGTGCCGGCCTTGCAGTGCCCGGAACTCACTCTGTGACCCTGGCCAGGCCTCTCCCTCTTTGAACCTCAGTTTCCTCATCTGTAACATGGGGATATAAATGGCCTTCCTGCCTCCCACGCAGGCCTCCCTCCAGGGGAGGGAGCTTGGGGGACCAGGTACTCTGCCTGGAGCCACTGGACATGTAGGACTTCTCTCTGTAAAGAAGGGCAGATCTGGGGCCCAGGGTCCGTCTCACCCTATGTCAGTGGCTGTGGCTGAGGTGGGGCCTGGTGCCTGAAGGTGCCCAACAGGCCCCTGCCCCTATAGCAGTCTATAAAGGGCCCAGGGAGCTTGGCCGCTCAACAGAAAGCAGGTGGAGGCAATCCTGGCGTCTGGCTCAGAGGAGGCCGTCAGAGGCCCAAGCCAGAGGGGGCGGGGGGCGGGGGGAGTATGGGGAGGGGGGAAGAGAGGAAAGGGAACCTCTCTGCAATTCCTAGTACCTAAAAAGATCTCTGTCCCTGTTTCTGAGGAATCCCTCACAGGGTGAACGTGCACCAGGAGAGAAGCAGCTCCTGGCTACCCCTCTGAGTCTTTGCTGGACGCAGCATACACCCCAGAAGGTAGGTAAACGGTCAGCCGTAGACGGCCCCTCCGGGGCCGCGGCAGACATCGCTAATCAACCACGGCACTGAGCAGCGTGCCGGGCACAGCCATCACCAATCGATCCAGGTGAAGCCGATCCCACCCCCAGCGCCCCACCCCCGCCCCCACCCCCAGGGCAAGCGGACGTCTGTGCCGTCCTCGACCCGGCCTGCCCAGTCCAGTCCTGGCCTTCGGTCCCCTTGCAGAGTCCTGCCCACTAAGCCTCTGGCCCGTTAGCCAGGTCCTGGGTGAAGGCGCCGGGGCCGGGGTCCGGGATGTGCTTGCGGCCCGAGGCTCGCGAGCTCCTCTGCATGCCGACCACGGTGCTGCCGTGGGGCTCGCGCTCCGCCCCGCGCCGGCGGAAGAGGCCTCGGACGGTGGCCTGGAAGCCGCTGGTGACAAAGCAGTAGACGATGGGGTCCATGCAGCTGTTGAGGCTGCTGAGGGTCACGGCCACGTGGTAGGCCACGAGGCTGGCATGGCTCGGCAGCTCGGGCCACAGCGCCACGGCCACCTGGCGGGCGTGGAAGGGCGTGAAGCAGACGAGGAAGATGACGAGCACGGTCAGCAGCAGCTGCATGGCCCGCACGCGGCGCTGGCGGCCCTGGCGCAGGAGGCCCGGCCGCGACAGCGCGCACACGATGCGGCCCGTGAACACGCTGATGACCAGCAGGGGCAGCAGGAACTCCAGGACGGTCAGCGCGAAGACGCGGCAGCAAGGCCCGCCGCCGGCTCTCACGCCCAGCACGGACAGGGTCACGGCGCCGGCCGCCAGCCACACGAAGGCGCACACGGCCCTGGCGCAGGCAGGCTGGCGCCAGCGGCGGGAGCCGTCGGGCTGCACGATGGCCAGGTAGCGGTCGACGCAGATGCAGGTGAGGAACAGGATGGAGCAGTGCATGTTGAGGAAGTAGCCGAAGACGTGCGGGAGGGCGCAGCGCAGGCAGCCGCGCGCGCCGTAGAAGACGGCGAAGCGCGTGGGCAGGGACAGCCCCACCAGCAGGTCGGTCACCACCAGGTTGATGGTGTAGACGACCGAGGGCGTCTTGGCCTGCGTGCGGCAGCAGAAGACGTACAGCGCTAGTCCGTTCAGCACCAGCCCCGCCAGGAAGATGACTCCGTGCACCGCGATCAGTGCCAGCCACAGGCCCGGGAAGGCGGCGTGCAGCTCCTCGTCCAGCAGGGCGAACAGGTGGAACAGGGGCACCTCGGGCACGCTGACGTTGGCCGCCGCCGCCGCCGCCGCCGCCGTGGCGTTGGGGGCCGCGGGGGCCCAGGGCCCCGTGGGAGACGCGGCGGGCATGACGGCGGCCAGCGCACGCCCTGGGCCTGGAAGGAAGGAGCGGGGTGGGTGACCTTTGGGCAACTGGAGCCCCGCCCGGAGGCTGGTCCCGCTCGGCTTGCCTGCCCACCGAGGCCCCCAGCTTTCCCCGCTTTGTGCCTTTTCCTGGCCTGGCCCTCAAATGCCTGCCTTCTTCTGCACTCCATGTGGCCCCGGCGCCTGCCAGGGCGGAGCTTGGGCGGGATGTTAATGCTCTGGGCCTACTTCTCCGCGCATCAGGAAGTAGAAACCCCGGCTGGGCAGGACCGGCCTAGGACCAAGAGGGAAGAGGAAGGCTGTGGCACCAGGAAGCTGTGGGGCCCCGTGTTTGGTGTTCGAAACCGGGCTCGGTCCCGGCTCCTCCCTTACTCGCCGTGCGGCCTCGGGAAAGCCACTTAACCTGTCTGTGCCTCCCGTGCTAACCTGCGCAGGCTGGTGTTGTGGAGCTGCTAGGAGGGTTAACTGAGCACCTCAGCAGCACCCAGCATGTCGTTTGTGCTAGAAAAACCACAGTGTGAGCTGCTGCTGGATAAACCACAGTTCTGCTCAACGGAGCCCAGCCCGCGACAGCCTCGCCTGGCTGGCCCCCCACCCCCGCACCCCTGCATCACAGATCGGGTCCTCCCGGCCACCCATCTGTTCTCACCTCTTCCGAGGCTGGTAGCGGGGTCGATGGCCAGGGCTAGGGTGCTCATAAGGAACCTCGCCCAAGGGCCAGCCCCCTGGACTCCCCGCTTCCCTCCCAGCCCTGAGACGTGAGCACCCTTGCTGGCTCAGGGTGACTCCCCGGGGCCTGAGCCCGGAGCCAGGTCCCGGCAGCAGTGGGGCGGGTGTTAGTTAAATAAACGCTGCGCTCCCTGCAGCGGTAAAGGGCCGCCCACTCTGTTTATGTTCCTGTGGGGCTGTGTTTAACTTGTTGAGATTTATCTCTATTTATACATGAAGGGTTAACAGGCCCCCCGCCCCCATCCCAGGCTGGGCTGATGCTCCAAATAAGGACATTTCTGGCTTTTTCAGGAGAAAGGAGAGGGCTTTGGGGAGAAGCAGGAGGAAGGGTGGGGACGTGGGACATCCTGGGCGCGCAGTGGGCCCTCCCCCTCCTGAAGGGGAAGGGAAGACACGCCACTGACCTGGTGGCTGACGCAAGTGTGGCATCTGCTGTGAGCAGGCCGGACACTGCCCACTCGCTCTGGTTGCCTGCCTGGCCTTGGGCAACAGGCTGGCTCTGGCAGCTTCAGCCCTGCGGACTGGGGGTGCTGAGTTCTGCCTGTGGGTGTTGGGGGGGCAGACGCAGCAGAGGAGTCCTTGCTAGCTAAGGCTCGGGCTCCGGTGTGGCCTGGGGGGAGGCCCGGGCAGGGCAGACGGCCACCACTGTCCTCGGGCTCAGAGAGGTACGCACCTGCCTGGGGTCACCCGGCTGTGCCTCTGCCTCTGGGACCCCTACCCTGGGCATCTGCTGACCCCCAAGGCTGCTGGGAAGAGTCACGTGCTGCCCAGGTGCATGGCCACACCTACCACACACACACACACACACACACACACACACACGGTCCTTCTGGGCTGGGCTGCCCTCTGTTTGGTGCCCCCAGGCCCTAACTCGCAGGGTTGATGGATGTGTTTGTCAAATGATAACTCAGGCAGACAGGGAGCACGGAGAGCACGAGGGACATCTAGGGCAGGGAGAGACCTTCCGGGGGCATGACGGGGAGCGAGGGCAGGCCATGAGGCCAGGGCATGGGGCTGGGAACCTGGAGTCTCAGGGCAGCGGGGGGCCCCGGAATGTCCCCAAGAAGGAGAAGGATGCTGCCCAGCTTGTCCCTCTACTCTGAAAAAAACTGAGGCTTGGCAAAGCTAGAGCCCTGCTGGGAGCTGGCCCCGGGGACACACGGCAAACAGTTTTTTGGATTCCCTTCCACATGCCTTCTGGTTTTCCAATGTGTCTGCACTAAGTTCGAGTTAGTGTCACAGGCAGAGACAAATAATAAACACTACAGAACATTTCCTCTGGGAGATAGTCCCAGGATGATGCCGGCTCCGGGGATCCTGCCCTTCCAGGAAGCTCCCCAGGGCCAGTCTCACTTGCTGGCCAGCAAGCTCAAGGTGCTGGAGGGTCCAGGCCAGGGCGGTGGGCCTGGCGCCCCCACAATAGGGGGATCGACAGGTGTTCAGGATGCCCCGGAGGCCTGACATGTGAGAAGAGATGTCCGCAAAGCACACTGTGATTCCCAGCTCCGGGAGTCTGAACCCTGATCCCAAACAAAGCTGAGCCCTGATGTCAGCCGCACACTGAGCCCAAACTGGTTACACGCTGAGCCATGATCCCTGTGACATGATGAAACTTGATCCTGCCATACTGGAGCCCTGATCCAGATCCTACTCCGAGCTCCGTTCCTGGTCACACACCAAATCTTGACTCCAATGACACAATTCACCTCAATCCCTATTACACTCCGAGCCCTGATCCTAGTTATACTCTGAGCCCTGACCCCGGGCACATGCTGAGCCCTGATCTTGGTCACACGTTAAGTCCTTACTCAGTTCACATCTTTTTAAGCTAAAAACAATTTTTTATATATAGACATATAGAGAGAGAGCACAAGTGGGGAGAGGGGCAGAGGGAGAGAGAGGGAATCCCAAGCAGGCTCCACGTTAGCACGGAGCCTGACGCAGGGCTCGATCCCCTGACCCTGGGATCATGACCTGAGCTGAAATCAAGAATTGGATGGTCAACCAGCTAAGCCACCTAGTCACCCCCCAGGTCACACACTGAGCCCTGACTCTGGTCACATGCTGAGCCCTGACCCTGGTGACATGCTGAGCCCTGACAATGGTCACACACTGAGCCCTGATCCCTGACTTTCTACATCCACCATCTCTGCCCCTTTCGTGTCTGTGAGTCCGGCTGTCTTTGTCCGTATGATAAAAACCCCCCTCGTGACCTGCTGCCCCACTCCCAGTGCACCCCACTCCCCTGCCTCACCTCTCACAGTGACTATGAACTCACATGGTTATTTAATGACTTCTCTCTAGGGCATCCACTCATTTTGCTTTGAACATGAGGAGTTCGAACAGTGGGGGGCCAGACCCAGGGCTTGGCCTGTGGAGGTGGGCCTTCTGGGAAGAGGCTGGGGTCGGGGTGGGGGGGGGGGGGATGGCCTCCTGAATCCACCCCTCTCTGGGGCAGGGAAGGAGCTGGGCTGGCGGATTCTGGGCGGAGAAGCCGCCCTGTCCTCCTCCCTCCCCGGTGTGGCCTCCGAAGGACCTTCCTTCTCTGGGCCTCAGTTTCCCCCGTGGTCTTCACTGCCTCATCTCCCGCTACTCCTTGAGACTCCACTGGGCCAGCTTCCCCCCCCCCCCCCCCGAGGCTGCTCCGGTCAGGTGCACGACCCCCAGCAGAGTGCCCCACCCACCTCGCACCCTCTCAGCACCCCCTGCCCTCCCCACTGCCCCCCTGCCTGCCGGCCAGGGCTGGGCCTGACCACAGAAGACGGGATTTCTGGCACTGGTGGTGTCTCCCCTCCCCACCCGCCGCTCTGGGTCTGTTGATGAACCTCTCTGAGCCTCAGTCTCCCTGCCTGCACCACCCGCAGAACAGCAGGCCCTTCCTCCGCTATTGCTGGGCGGATTCGATCCGCGGTGTCCGTGTCGGCCGCTGTGAAGAGCTGGGTGCCTCCCGGCCCTTGAGCCTCCCGCACTCACACTGGAGCAAATGGAGGCTGTGGGAGGGCCAGGCCAGGACCCGAACCCGGGTCTGCCTAGGGCGAGCCTATGGCTGGACCCTTGGTCCTGAGCGGGGCCGGGGCACCAGGCAAACGGCCCCTCGGCCGGCAGGCGCCCGCACCCACTCCCCACGTGCCTCGCTCTCTGCTTGGCCTCTAAATATAGCCTGGAATGAGGGGAAAGGAGAGAAGGTTCTGATCCTCTGTGGGGACAGTCTGGCCCCGGGCCCGCCCACCCAGGCTGAGGGGGGAGGCACAGACCTGGCCTCCAGGACGGGCCTTGGGGCCGTGAGTCAGCAGAGGAGGGTCCCAGAGACCCAGGGGCCGGGGGCGGAGGGGTGTTCTGGTCCCTCTCTGAAGGGGACCTTGGCCCCTTCAGAGAGCCTTGCTCTCTTCATCTGCTAAATGGGGTCACTAGCGCCTTCCACAGCCTGAGGGGGGAGGCTGGGCTCTGTCTCGCGGGGAGCCAGCCCGAGGGGTGTGGCACCGTCCTGTCCCCTCCTCCTTCCTGGCAGGTGTCCTGGGCCTGGCTGAGGTGGAGCAGACCTCATAGCCAGGGCCAGCTGGCTGGAGCCCGGCGGGCAGAGGCCACGTCCTCGTCGTGCCTGGCACGGGGCCGGGGCCTGCACACTCTTCTAAGGCGACTGTCCTGGAGGCAAAGTCTTGGGACCTTTGTGCCACCTGCTGCCCCTGCCCACATTCAGGTACTTCTCCAGGCAGGTGGGGGACACATGCAGGCTGTTCTCCAGGGGCTCGGGGTGCAGTTGGGAAGTCACACGGCAGGGTGGGGGGACTGGAGCATGGCTCCGTCGGAGAACAGACCTCAGTTTCCTCATCTGTAAGGTGGGCAGAATTAGAGCTCCCCTCGGGCAGCACCGAGGTGTGGTCAGGAGGTGGCCCTGGAAGGGCCCCGGAGGGTTTTGGTGGCTGGGGGGTGGGAGACAGGGCCCAGGATGCGCACAGGTGAAGGGTAGGAAAAGGGGGATCCCTTTGGAGAAGGGCGGGGGGGGGGCTCTCTGCACAGCCCCCACGTGTGAGTCCCGGTCGTGGGTGGGACCGAACGGCAGGTGCGCGGGAGGGAGGAGGTGGAGACCCGGGGCTTTTCTCTCCCTTGCTGGTTCCTCGCTCTGTGGGAGCCTCCCCACCCCAGTCTTCTCTTTTTTTTCCCTCTTTCTGCTCCTGCCTGTCTTAGAGAAAGTGAGGTTCTCAGAAGGAAGGGCCAGGAGTTCCTCCATCCTGCCCGGGACCTCCCAGGCCCTTGCGAGCCTCAGTCTTCCCATCTGTACAAT